CTACCCCCCGCATAGGAGCCGTCTAAAAGTGGGGAGAACAAAAGAAAAAACAACAAAACGAGAAACAAGCCGACCCCCAGCCCACAGACCCCCCACCCCAGCCATCGTATGCCGGCCGTGAAAGCCTTCAACAATACACTAAATATGATCCTTATTATTTTTAAAAGGATTTCTAGAGACCTTACCTCCAGTATTGGTTTCCAACAAAGAAATAGGTTTTTCTAGTATCTTTATCAAAAACAGCAGCATCAATTTTCTTAATGTTTGCTGGGAATCCCAACTTGTCAATGAGTTGGGGATAGCCAGGCTGCATCTGAAGCCTACTAAACATCCAGAACTTATTATCTGTTCAAAAACACACAAAGAAAGAAAGTCAAACACTTTACAATTTAATTTAGTATACCCCATAGCATTTATTGATTGATTTAATCAATTTATATGGCTGCCTATCTGAAATACATGACTCTGTATTTTTCTTTAACTTTCTCTTAAAGCAATAATCAATTTGAGTTGATTATTGAGTTCAATACAAGAGTCTGTCACCAAAAGCAAACATTTTCTACTTCTACAGAATCCTTTCCATTCCAATTTGCCTGTCCCTGTCTTAAATCTCCCTTAGTCCCTACACCCAGGCAAGCTATTAGCCACTTCAGGAGGGCCATGGAAAATCTATTTGAAAATCTCTCCTCTCTTTCTGTTGTCAGTGGAGTTTGGCTGCTGTTCTTAATATCCCTGGCTTTAAAAGGAGATGGATTCTTGGAGGACACAGGCCTATCAAGAATTAGCAAGGCTTCCACAAGGGGTTGAGTGTCAAACTTTGAACGATGATGGGCACAGAGGGAGCAGGGTTTGCCACATGACACCATGCTCACCATCTTGCAGATTTTTATACCTACCCCACAAATGACCTTGACTATTAGCCTTGAAAATTCAGTACCATCTATGCTTTTTTCTGATGATGATGATGATGATGATGATGATGATGATGATTTGCTCTTCTCCTTTCTTATTTACACCTTTTTCCTCTTTCCCAACAGCTGGTTGCCAGAGAAAGGACTACTTGCTCTTCCCATGAATCTGAACTGTATATATTCCTCTAGTACTACAGGTTGCTCATTCCTGTCCTAAACTTCTAATTCAAATAATATAAGCCTTAATTTCTTACCCTTAAAGAAAAGAATCTGATCATTCATATTTTCATAAGCTGCCTGGATTCCAGAAGGTAGGAGAGGCGACAAAGTAGAAATTGATTCCATGTCCACATCAGAGCTAGTAGGATACACTCTCCAAATGTGCCTATAATGAATGTGATGGTGCATTTCCCATTAATAAAAATCAATTATTTTGTGAATTGAAATGGACAAGTGGGCACTATTATAAATCAGTTTACTGGAAAAGCACAGAATCAGTCTAACTTAGTCAGAAGGGTATAGTAAGGAGCAAAAGATGAATATAAGAACATTTTCAGTGCAATGCCTTGCATATTTACTCAGAAGTAAGGCCCACTATGTTTTGTGGAGATTCATCCTAGTAAGATTTCAGGGTTCAAGGACTAACAAAATAAGTTTCCTTTTGAGCTAGAAATCTATAGTCTCCTGTAACCCAGTGGTTCAGCCAAGTAATATTTGATGCAAATCCTACCTTGATTGTTCCATGTGCAATCTGGGGAAAATAATCCTGGTGTTATTCTAAGGTTTTTAGTTAACTAAATCATGAAGTACATGTACTGCTTACAATTAGGTTTTATGGATCAAAGTTGCCAAATTGCTGACATGGAGTCAGAAAAGAATGCAAGGTGGGAGTGCAGAGTGGAAAAGATTTTATTCTCAGTGTTAAACTACTCAGCATGTGATATATGCATTGGCAGCTGTTATGTCTTTCTCCTTTTATAGTAAGCAGATCCTGTTTACCTTCCCTTTAAAAATATCACTTCTCTTCGGAAGGTAGTGATGGCATCAAAATTTAGCTTAGGATCACAAGCTGTTGGTAATGTTGGCTCCACTGGTTCATTTGAAGGGTCTTGTGATGGTCCTAAAATAATAATCAGATGGAACATGATTAATTATAACAATTATTCTCAGAGTTCAAAGGGACATATTTGAGGATGGGGGTTGTGGACAGATGAAGTGAATTATGTCATTTGTGTCAGTTTTATCTAATGACATAATTGTATCATTTCCTCAATGATTTCATGACATGCATAACATCATTGTGGGCTTGCATTGGATGCCTCTGTTTGGACAAAGTTCTTCCTTGTAATTCCTCTGTATTGTCACAATATCTACAAGGTAGATATTGCTGGCATACTAGCTGTGTTCTCATATTGAGCTAAACCATGACATGCATAACCATAGCTTGTTGAATAAGCAATAATCGACTGAGTTCACACAACAGGCCAAGCCAAAGCCAAATAAGCTACATCATGCTGTACCTGTAACATAATCTACCATAGTGAATTTTGCTGGGGATATTTGAAACTAATCATATTTCTGTCACTTATGCAGGCAATAAAGTAGGTAGACCTGGCAGGTTACAGGTGATACGAGAGATTCTGGGGATTGCCTATGTAACCTTAGTCTATAACATGAAGAAACTCTTCCAGATTTGTTGCTGTAGCCATGTGAATGACCCTTAAATGACATGATGGAATCGCTGCAGTTGGTTTTCAGAAAACATTACAGTAGCTACTGTGACCTCAGCAACTATATATACCAACTTAAAGGTCAATTGAAAGTTTTTCTTTGAACCTTAGAAGTTTCCATTCTCCTATATTTCTGGATAGGTGGGATGGCCAACCTGTTGCTGAATGGTAAGTTCTAGGAGTTTCATCTTTATGTATCTTAGCTGGAGCTGCTTCAGCTTGTAGGCCAGCCATATCTGGGAGTTGGCCATTTTGAATATCTATCATTGATACTGAACTTTTGGAAAGCAATGGAGAATCAATTTAATAAATATATCTGCCTAACATGGAACATAAGAGAGGAAAAATGCTACCAATTTTTTTTTTCTTATTGTGAAGAGGATGAAGGTGTGCTTGTTTAAGCAATGACTTGGTGGAAGATGAGGAGGATGGAAAAGGCATTCACTTATTGGCCAACCTGAAATGATAGCAAACAAGTACTGATTGCCTGACAGGTTTCTGAAAGTTCTATGAAACGCAACCATATAGATACTCATGAATCTTGCAAATAGTCAGAAGAGACTGGAACAATCTTGGACATGCTTTAAAATAGGTTAAAGAAAGTTAGGTTGAAAACTGACCCATGGTTGTACAGTCAACTCTCCAACTCTGCAGGCAAAGGGGTAGTAAAGTTTTATAGTCCAACACTTACAGTATTTACTACATCACACTGGTTCCCAAGCAGTTTGCCTACAAGACTTTAATTTTTCCTCATGATTATAAATTGTTATCATTCATTTCTGATCACCTGTTTTTTTTCTTACCATAGATGGCCTGAATGGCATTAATATCATCTTGGGAGAGTGGGGAATCAGCAGGGTCAATGGGTTTATAACTGGGGAACATCAGTGCTCTTGGGTCATTAGAATGTGCGAGGCCAAGGACATGGCCAATCTCATGTGCGGCAACAAGGAACAAGTTGAATTCTAAATAAATAAACCAATAAAACAGAGTTATACATGCATTGTAGATGCATACACGAAGTAAATTCCACTGAGTTCCATGGGATTTAGTCTCAAGTAAATGCATATTGTTCTATTTGAGGCTTACATGGAAAAAATAAGATATAATACATACATATAATAAACACTCAAACTCTGTGAGGATTTATATACCAGAACAATGTTTCATTTATATTAGGAACAGTATAAAATAACCATAAATTCCTTATTTTCAAGAGAACCAGTTTGGTCTAGTGGTTAACACATGTACTAGAAGCTGGGAGACTATGGGAAGCCAGCTGGTTGACTTTGGGCCAGTCACTCTCAGCTCTAAGAAGAATTACTGGTAAGCCACTTCTGAAAATGTTGCTGATAAAACTTTAGGGACTTGTTCCTGTAGTTCAGGGCCCAGGGTTGATTCAATGGACCATACAACAATTCCTATTTTAAGCTGCTCTTAGGTGTCCTTGAAAGCAATCATGACTGGGCCTGGAGCAAGGAAATTTATCTATATTCCCATCCCCAGGGTGTGATGGCCAAGGCAGATTGTGGTGGGGTATCTATTACTCCAGCCTGTTCAACCGTGTATTTGTAATTACGCCCCCTGACAACTATGCTGAACATGATAGAAAATTAGCAATGCAGCTCCAGGGCTCACATAGCAGATGGATCCAAATCAGATGAATCTGGGAAAACATAGGATAATTGGATCTAGTCTTTCCAAAGCTGCCCACACCTGATTCCTTCTTTGCCCACAGAACATTAATTTTGGGGCTTTCCATGTGTTATCTTGGCTGATGAAGTTCCATCAGCAGTTTTCTGACTTCCCATCCAGTTCAGTGAGAGCTCCAGATGAAGCAGAGAACTATATATTGATGGCCAAAAGAGATCAATGCCCCATGCAAACATCTACTATCTATTTACATTGGGAGCTGAAGAACTGCATACAAAGCTTTTTAGAAAAAGTTTCAGTCAGCCACAGGTCCATTTTTTTAAATGCAAAAAGAACCCCCTTCCCATAGGTGACATGAAATTATGTATAAAAATAATTGATGTAGACTGCATTCCCACTGCCATAACTACAGACAAAATGGCATATCACCATTTCTACAAGAAACATTTCCCACCACTAAAATAGAGAATCTTTAAACTTACTAATGGTGGAGTAAGGGAGAGGAACAGCAGAAGAGTGCAGCTTTGGGACTTTTTCCAAAACAGGAGTCATGACATCTTCTGCCGAAACATCAGTATAATATCTAGATCTTCTTTGTTCTGGTAAGTAAATGAAGAAATAATGATACTTTCAAGTTGTTCTAATTCTTTGTGGTAGGAACAAGCCATAAGATGATTGAAATAATTAGAGGTGAGTTCCCTCCCCCTCTTTTTTTCCTTTGATGGAGTTCCTAATTACTTATTTATCTGGTTAGCTCTATAACCTGCCTTTCATCAGGATCTCAAAGATATCCTGGATGAAAATCTTTGTTTCAAGCTTATCACCCCATAGTAGTTGAATTTACGTAATTGAAAGTACCATACTTGGTTCAGTGGAACTCAACTCAGATAAGTACGCACATTATTGCAGTCATACTTATTTCAATAACTTCACTATTATTCTGGATTCTCTTCTCTGGAGGACTGTCTATAGCCACAGCTAAAATAACTCTTGCACTTCAAAACTGAAAGCTGTATTACTGCTTACCATGTAAGCTGGCTATCCAGGTTTCATCCTCATCAAAATGGACATTTCCACGGAAGTAATGTCCAGGAGGAAAAGCATGCCCAAGGACACCCAGGGGTCCATCAAATTGTCGTGGACAGCGGCCATGCACTAAATGACAATGTGATACAAAATTACTGTCACCTCATAAAGAACTTAATGAACCTTGAAGCTGCTGTAGCATTTAAGGTATTACCTCTTGTTGCAAACTCAATCATGATGTCTGCTCTCCCTCTATGAATCTTGATGAAAGTCAGAGGAGTCACTCTACTCCAAACTTCAAAAGCCTTTTTGATAGAGTCATCCACATCAGCTCTCCTCATGTCAGGTGTGTAATTCATAATCCTGAGAAAATTAAAATGCAGAAAATTTTCACACTGAACATTTATTATTTTTTATTGCTATGGTAATTAATGATCTAGATTGAAAAGTGAACATATGAATCAGAAACAGAGATCAGAGTAGATTGAGAAAAATGGCTAAAATCTTTCCAGTTCCTGGATAGAATTATTCACATAATTTATATTTTTTTATTCAGATGTGAGGAATACAAGCTCCTTTCTCCCCTGCCAAAGGCATTTTCTTCCAGTGAACTGTTTTTGCAGATTAGCAGTGTCCAACTTCTTCAGGCTAGGCATTTGGCCTTTGACTGAGGGGAGGGGGGGCAGGCAGTGGACTCATGTCCAAAATAGTGGGTCTGGCTAAAGCAAAAGTTAGCTTCCCATCCATTTCCATTAAATTAAATTAAATGGATTAATAAGCTTACTTCCTTGTCATGTACTTAATAATTTCCCTTTCCTATCATATTAAAAATACTATTTATAGTGAACCTTAGAGTTCCCCCAAACTTTCAGGAGAAATCAATGCAATCCAGAGGTCCTAAGTTGTACATCTATACTGTAAATATTCAAGTTTAGTTTTTGCAGTTTAAAACCATGTTATTGACAATTAATTTTAAGTATTCTTCAGCTTATAAACACTGAGTTTGTGAGAAAAATTGTTGTTGCTTAGAATCTATTCTATATACAATTAAGGAGATACTGTATTATTCTGAAGGTCTCATCTGATGCATGTTGCTTAGATTCAGGGGATCTCACAAGGAAATTCTTGAAGTCATGTCACTTATTTGCTATGTCATCAAATTATTTTTTACCTGTATGTAAGCTTGGTTTTTCCCCATCCAGGAAGAGCCAGGACATACTGTCCAATATCAGGAACACCACATCGTGGTTGTTGCATAACTTCTAGTGTCTCAGCATCAACCTTTCCCGTCACATTCAATCTAAAAAAGTCTTGCATTTGTTTGATTTTGTCCACAAAAGATGAACTACTTATTTTCCAACCTTGCTGCCTTGGATCATCTTTTTGCTCATAAAACTGATTGATATATGCCTGATGAATACAGGAAAGCATGTAGGTATAAAAACTAATTCATAATTTTCACAATTTATTATACACAGCAATTTATTATATGCTTGGTCTAGTAGAATAGTACTGGGATATTCATTTCTGTATTTTCTAAGCAATAGACTGCTATGTCTTAGGAATATGGATATCCTAAAAAGACATCTTTCCTAATTCTTATGTGGCAATGTTCATTTCTGTTGATTTTGTCCCTGTATTTTTTTTAAAGGCAGGAAAGTGCTAGTCTTGCATAATTTATTAAGGTAATTTTGCTAATCCCCCCACCCACAGTAATTTCCCTGAAAGTAATTTAATAGCACGCTAAGAAACTAGTAGCCTGTATTTCAGACGCTTGCTATGCAGGAGCGAGATCCCCAGTAAATGTTTAATTGTCTATGCCAATTATACATACATACATACATACATACATATATATATAATTATGTATATCATATATAACATATAACATAACATAACATAACATAACATAACATAACATAACATAACATAACATAACATAGGCACTTGCCTAAGTGCCATAGGTGACAAATCCTATGCAAGTAAACACGTTCCTTCACCAAATATGATTAGTTGCCTGTAAAAATTTCCCAGTTATGGTGAGGAAATACATGTTGAACCAGCACTTCCTGATTCTTAGCTCAATCTTAACCACAATAACACTGTATCACTGAAAGTCCCCCAGTACAGCCACCACATTTTTTAACCTCTTCTCCTAAGTATTTCAGAAAAGGTTCCGGGGGTCAGGCATTCAAGGCCACAAACCATTCCTTAGCTTTCCAGGGTACTCTCTGATAATCCATTTTTACTAATCCATTTTGTTTGCATGTGCATGCCTTTGAGTCCATCTTGACTCCTGGGCAACATTTCAGTAGTAATTTGCCATTCCCTTGTCCCTAGGGCTTAAAGAAAGTGACTGACCCAAAGTCACCCAGCTGGCTTCCATGTGTAAGGCAGGACTAGAATTTGGGTTTCCTCTTTCCTAGTTCAGCACCCTTACCACTAGTCCAAACTGGCTTTAACTTCCATTTTTTTGGGGGGGGGCTTGGTTGGCATTAGAAGGATGCACCCAAGGACATGTAATCAAAGAATCCCAAGCTGGTTGGTTGTTTTCCTGCAAACATTTGTTACCAAGCTAGGTAACATTATAAGTACATGGGAGAATGAGATTTGCTCGTTGTTTATATATACATATATAGTAGTTTGCCCTGTCATGTCTTTATCTAGGCTGTTTTCTTCCCTGACTTTGTTGCTATGTAGAGAGCCAGAGAGCCACTTTGGCCCAGCAGTTAAGGCACCAGGCTAGAAACCACAAGACGGTGAGTTCCTGTCTCATCTTAGGCACAAAGCCAGCTGGGTGACCTTGGGCCAGTCTCCCTCTCTCAGCCTTAGGAAGCAAGCAATGGAAAATCACTTCTGAAATCTTACCAAAGAAATTGCAGGGACTTGTCCAGGAGTTAATACTAACTCGAAGGTGCCCTCTGCAAAAGATAGGATGTGTCTGTTGATGGCTGATTTGTCAGAATGCCAAGCTCCCATGAATTTTGGAATTGGCTTGACCTAAAATGTCAACAGTTTAGTTGTGGTTGTTTATTTGTTGAGATTAGTTGTGATTGTTTATGTGTTGAGATTTTAAGGAATGCTCACCATGTCTTCCGACTGCCAGTTGATGTTCATAGATGTGCTTTGTGAATCTTTTATTTGTCTGTCTATATAGGGTTTGTTACTGCCTTCGCAATGTATGTTGTAGGTGACTTATGTTTTTCTTTTTTGGGGTTAGGGTTACTGGATCTTTGGAGTTGCATAACACAGCTATCACAATCTATGAAAAGGATAACTCTCTGACACATCAAAAACATCTTGTCTACTACAACGTCTTGGCATCTTTGTAGCACACAAATCAACAAAATCACTCCAAAACGTCTTAAGCAAATCCAGAGCACATTCTTCCTAGCCACCAACACCCAGATAAGTAAGAAACAGCACCAGATAAACAAGTAAGGAAGAAACAACACCTTAATCAAGGAACTATCAAGGAAGAAACCACACCCCAACCAAGACTGTCAGAGCAAGCTCCTATATATAAACAACCAGCAAACTTCACTCTCCCGTGCACTGATGATGTTACGTAGACGGGTAACTAAACATCTCCAGGAAAGCACCCAAGGCCAAAAAACTCTAAGAACCCAAACGTTCAACCCTGAGCTACATATATTCTGTACCAATGATTCCAGGTTTCTCAGAGCCCAATGGTATTGTTACCTGCGCAAGCCGTTGATTTTGTTCTTCGCTTCTCTTCTCTGAAAAGGTGGGGAGTCCGTAAGAAAATGCAATAGACCAAAATAAAAACAAAATATGTTTCATCTTAAAATTGGGTTGCCTTGTTCAAAGAGCAGCAAAGTTTCTGTCTCTGCTATTGTAGTCCATCTGACTTTCAAGTTTTTGTGCTTTATGTTTCATAAAGCCAGCTGTGGACTGACTCACCGTTTCATCATGTTCTGATTAGCAACAAAAGGCATACCAACCAGTAGAAGGTGTCACAATGCAAGTAGACTTAAAATCCTGATTGTATAAGCCTAACTAGCATTTTCTTTATTTAAGGCAAAGCGAAAAACAAAAAACCCACCTTCTTTCTAGCCTATTTTAAACATGTCAGTTTCTTAAACTGTGCCTTTTCCCTACACTTTTAGAGCACATATCCACACTGTGACTGGGTTAACATATCACACTAAGACATAATGTGATTTATTTGATTGATCCTGTTATGTGAGGTTAGTCATTGTGGTTGGTAAACCATGATTATAGTACCATGTATAGTATGATTCTAGCCAATTATGGCTCATTCTGTAAACCACGGTTAAGAAAATCATGACATATGTGATGTGTAAACTGCACAGATATTTTAAACACCCATATGTGTATGATTATTAATTATTAACATAAGCTTATTCAGGGATGAGTCCCTAATTTATCTTTATGCGAAGGAAACTGGCATGGGGATTTTATGATACACTTCACAGCTCAGAAAAGAGATGTGCATAAAACTCTCTACACATAGAGGAATTAGTTTAGGGCGAATTGCTTGTCCACTAGGAACAGGGAGTGTAGCAATCAGTATATTAGGAGAAGGCATAAAGCAGTACATATAGTGGGAGACCATCTGGGTGACGCTTCACACTGATATAAATGTGTCTGTGTTTGTGTGTGTGTAATGTGTATGTGTATTTGTATGAATGACCAAACTTAACCTTGAAGGAGTGAGCAAAGTCAAACTTGACCGATTTCCCCACCCCAAGGAATCTGGGAAATAATTGATGCTAATGCCTGCTCTACCTTGTGTATGATGCAGTTATCATCACTCTGACAGATGGCTTTCCCCCTGCTTAACCGTTTCTACTTTTTTGGAGAAAACTGTGTAACCTTCACTACCCTGCCAACAAGCAAGGAAAGGAGAGAGTGAATGAGACAAAGACAGTAAAACGTGTTATGCATATTTTGGATGAAATAAACTTCCAGATGACTCCTTGAGTACTAATAAGTGAGAGATGAAGAAATAGCAGTTTTGATTTTTCCCCCAACAGCTGCTACTCATTTTGAATATATCATTAACCACAAGTTTGTAGTATTTCCTCTGTTGAGTAATTTAGCAAAACATGTCTCAAAATCAGACAATACATAGCAGTTTGTTTCTAATGGGGTGGTGCCTGATGATTGAGCATTCTGAAAGGTATCAAGATGCTGATGAAAGAGGCCCCCAAATGGGTTCTACTTCATGGGAAGAAGGACAGATTTCATCCTGTAGTAATAGTGGAAGTTCTGTCTGATTTGGAAGAGAATAATAGTGAATCAGATATGTATAATCTCCAAAGAAATAACATGTGATTATATACAGGAAGAGCTTCAGGCAAGAGAGTAACGCTGAGCTTGACAGAAATCATCTAAAATTATGATATCTGTAAACCCAGAGCTGAGAAGGAACATAAATGCAGATGATCAAAGGGCACATCCAGATAGCCAGTTTAACACACTTTCTCCATGAGGTGGTTCAAAAATCCCAGCATAATATGCACTGCCCTCATAACAGGTCACTATTCTGCCTTAGTAATGACATCAGTGATTGGTACTATCACAAGAGTTTAAGTGGGCCAAGTTAAAGTGCAGCAATTGGTACATTTTCCAGCTGACCCTAACCCAACAGTCACTCCATCTAACATGGTCTGGTACTGGTGGAGGATTTGGTTTAGACAGATGGCTAGACCAGCAGGAATAATCATCTGTCAGAACCTTTAGATTTCACTTTACAGAGATCCTGATTTATACTTTTCTCTAGTAATACCAAGACCACTGTTCTGCCTGGTTTAGCAATAGCAGCACCAGAAGTTTGAGAGGTTTCTCTAGCAATGTAAATGCTGTAACTTCTCTCTTGGCATCATGTCAGTCCAGCAGCACAACACAAAATGGCCATGGAGGGAAGATGGCAGAAACTGGAAAGGAGTAGGCATTTCCACAGCAACCAATCCTAGTCGATAATTGTTGGGAAGATTCCAATTTCTGCTGCAGTTGTCACTGAAGCCACATAAGTCTTAAGCATAACAAGCTTTGTGTTGGGAGAAGATGGGAAGCACTACTTCCACATTGGATGAGAAAAACCCAGAGATAGCTGGCCTTGACTATAGCTAGGATGAAAAGAAGTTTGCATCGTATGGACATGTTGTCAGAGAATGGTTAGAAAGGGCATCTTCAAACTGAAAAGGGGTTCTATAAATGTGCCCAAACAATTCATTGTGTTTTTTGAATAGCTGACCTTCAGAAACTGACAAAAATGGTAAAAATGAATGATAGAAAGCAATGCAAAGAGATCTCAGAATTTAGGAATTTGATATTATCTACTTTAGTTTGGCCTCAAGAATCTGTTTGGTGTTGTGGTTAAAGGCGCCAGGCTAGAAACTGGGAGAACATGAGTTCTAGTCCCACCTTAGGCATGTAGCCAGCTGGGTGACTTTGGGTCAGGCCCTCTCTCTCAGCCCTAGGAAGAAGGCAGTTGCCAAGAGTCAAGAATGACTTGAAAGCACCCCCTAC